CAGTCAAGGGCATATGTTTGGATTGTGGGCTCAGCCGACCAATGATTCTCTCTTATCATTGATGTTTCTATCTCTCCCTCTCCCTATCCCTCTGAAATCAATAAAAAAAAATACAAAAATAATAAAAGTGACTATTTGTCTGGTGTTGCTCAGTTGGTTGCACATGGGAACCATCCCCAGTAGGGGGCGTGTAGGAGGCAGCCAATCAATCCTGATGTTTCTCTCCCTCTCCCTTTCTCTCTCCAAAATAAATAAATAAATAAATAAATAAATAAATACTTAATGGACCCTTTAAAGCTTTTTAAGTTAAATGCCATACAACTTCAGGTGCTGAACATAAGTGTAGTATTACAGTGTATTAAATGTTACAGGGATAGTGTGGCGTGGATGCAGGGAAGAGCACTGGCCCTCTAGCACAGTGATTCTCAACCGTGGCTGCACATTAGAATCACGTGGGAATCTTTTTCAAATCCTGATTTCTGGGCCTCATCCTCTGGAAATTCTGTTTCTTTGTTACTAATGTTGTGGCCCCATCCCATAACGAAGAAACAGAATTTCCGGAGGATGAGGCCCAGAAATCAGGATTTGAAAAAGATTCCCAGGTGATTCTAATGTGCAGCCAAGGTTGAGAACCACTGCAGCATAATGGCAGAGCAGGGCCTTTTGTCCCCAGGGGATGCTACAGCTATTAGGTGAAAGGTTGTGGGATATTCGTAGGGCATCAACATATAGCCCCACATATCCATTACAGAGGGAAAACGAACTTTCCAGCGTAGAGGTCTGTCATTCACTTCTTAACCAAGTGATTAAACTTATCATCACTAAGAGCCCATTTACAAGCTTTTCAGCCTCTAAAATGCAGGATGAGATCATAGTTCTTCCCTTCCCAGTTCTTCCCTGAAGACAGATTCAGTGCAAATCATGGTCCCTAACACATAAAAAACATTCAGTAACTGAACTTCTCTGGTGGCTATTTGATTTTTCTGTCATAATAGCTAAGAAGAATAAGATTTCAATCAGTGTCTGCCAATAGATGTTGACTTAAACTGAGACAGGACTAAGTTTAAAAGATAGGAAGGAACGATTGATTTGAAGCTTTCAAATCCCTAAATAAAGTAATATACTTTAGGAAAAATATTTATTTTTTATTGCTTTTAGGAAAAAAAATTTAAAAGTTTGAAACGAGTAATTAACTCAATAAAAATGATTTTATAATAAAGCATAGAAAAGCAATCTATTTGATCATGGGATTCCTAATGGAAATCCCAGCACCACCATCAATTGACCATTTTAAATGTAATTTAGACTTGTATATGATATAAACATAGTTTTAAAATGTTTTATTCAATTGTTTCAGTACTGCTTGGCCGGCATGGCTCAGTGGTTGAGCATCACCTAGGTACCAGGAAGTCACAGTTTGATTCCTGGTCAGGGTGCATGCCCGGGTTGTGTGCTCAATCCCCAGTAGGGGGCATGCAGGAGGCAGCTGATCAATGATTCTCATCACTGATGTTTTTGTCTCCCCCTCTCCTTCCCTCTCTGAAATCAATAAATTGTTTCACTACGAACACAAAGGTTCATTTGGATGATTTTATGAACTTGTAGCACTGTTAACCTGGTATGTGGGCCAAACATCTCTAAGGCACCATTTCTCCAAGTCTCTCTGGAGAACATTCACCCTGAGAGATGCTGTCCGCAGAGTGGGTTCGCTGGCTATACTTTGAAAAGTACTGCATACAATAGTCCTTGCAAAGAATCATAATTCACATTAGCATATGAAAAGCTCTGAAATCTTACAGGAAAGAAACCTGTTTACTTGTGTGCAACATAAGAGCTCCAATTTCAGGAGCACCAGGCTGCTCTTTGATAGCCTGGAAAAACCATGTGGGGGACCAGAAGAGAAGGATGTAGCCTTTATTTATTTTTTTAAAATATATTTTTATTGATTTCAGAGAGGAAGGGAGAAGGAGACATAAAAACATCAATGATGAGAGAGAATTATTGATCGGCTGCCTCCTGCACGCCCCCTACTGGGGATCGAGCCTGCAACCTGGGCATGTGCCCTGACTGGGAATCAAACCTTGATTTCCTGGTTTATAGGTCAACACTCAACCACTGAGCCATGCCAGCAGGCCAGGACATAGCCTTTATTACTTGCACATGGGGAAGACCCAATGGCTGCCTGTCGGGTAAGTTTCCCAACCCTGCCAGGGTCAGGCGGGGGCTTATTTAGCAGAGGGGAGGGGGTGCCATGCTTTGGAATAGCTTGAGTGCAGGCCAAGGACAAACAGGGTCTGCCGAGACTTGTTGGCTGTCAAGGACGTGGGAAGACACCTGGGTCTGTGCTGCTCTGTTTCTTGTGGCCACCAGCCAGGCAAACAATGTTGAACTGACTGGGGGCAGGGCGGGGGGAATTGGGCTATAGCCTTGCGTGACCCCACACTGGGTCTAACCTAGCATGCCCCAGACATATCTGAACACAGAAGACTTTCCCCCCTATGATAGCAATTCCTAGAAACACTTTGGGGAATGGTGCTTTAAAGAACAGTTGGTCTCAGATAATAATGGTATTTGCACATCAGGGATAGACTATCTCAGTCCATCCACAGCAATGCAGGCTTTGTCTAGCATGCTGGAAGAGGCGAGGAAGGATCCTTGTATGGACTGAATGTGCACCCCAAAGTTCACATTTGAAATTCTAACCCCCAATGTAATGGTATTTGGCTGTGGGGCCTTTGGAAGGTGATTAGTTCATGGGGGTGGAGCCCTCATGAAGGGTTAATACCCTTATGAAAGAGGCCCCACAGAGCCCCCTCTCCCCTCCCACCACATGAAGACACAGGGAGAAGGCAGCCATCTACGAATAAGGAAGCAGGCTCTCGCTGGATACTGAATCTGTGGTTCCTTGGCCTTGGCCTTCCAGCTGCCAGAACTATGAAAAAGAAATGTCTTGTCTGTGGTATTTTGTCATAGCAGCTTGGACTAAGATTAGGTGCCTATCAGAATTTGTTTCTACTCTTGCTTAGAAAGTAATCTTTTTCTTGTTTGGTTGGGGGGAAGGGAGGAAAGCAAATGGCCTGTTTGATACTGGCAACCCCCCATCCACTGTAAGAAGTCACTAACAGTCCTAGCCAGTTTGGCTCAGTGGATAGAGTGTCAGCCTGTGAACTGAAGGGTCCTAGGTTTGATTCTGATCAAGGGCATGTACCTCGGTTGTAGGCTCGGTCCCCGGCCCCAGTTGGGGCGTGAATGGGAGGCAACCAACTGATGTTTCTCTCTTTCTCTCTCTGTCTCTCCCACTCTAAAAATCAATGGTAAACATATCCTCAGGTGAGGATTAACCACACACAAACACAAAGAAGTCACTGACAACTGTCAACAGGTTTCCTTTGGCAGCCTTATATTAACACCAGGACCTGCTGTAATCAGTTTTGATCATAAGAATATAGAGAGTAGCCGGAACCGGTTTGGCTCGGTGGATGGAGCATCGGCCTGCGGACTGAGAGGTCCCAGGTTCGATTCCGGTTGGGGGCTTGTACCTGGGTTGCGGGCGCATCCCCAGTGGAGGATGTGCAGGAGGCGGCTGATCGGTGTTTCTCTCCCATCGATGTTTCTAGCTCTCTATCTCTCTCCCTTCCTCTCTGTAGAAGATCGATAAAATATATTAAAAAAAAAAAAAAGAATATAAAGAGTAGATAAACCACCTAAGAATTCTAATTCAGTTGCTGCCTGCCCAACTTCCAGTAAAGTTCTCTCATGATAAATTAGGGGTCATTAAAAAGAAGAATCATTTCTATGCCTTTTCTACCACTCACTCACTAAGTATGACATGCCTTCTGGCCAGGCACTCTGACGGGGATGCAAAAGCAGAAAGAAATGCTCTTTCTTGCATTTGGGAAGACACTTTGCTTTAAATTACTGGAAATACTAGAGGCCTGGTGCATGGATTCGCACACCAGTGGGGTCCCTTGGCCTGGCCTGTGCCCTCTCACAATCTGGGACCCCTCAGGGGATGTTGGACTGCCGGTTTCTGCCAGGCAGAGGGACCCCACTGGTGCAAGAATCTGTGCACCAGGCCGGTTTCGGCCTGATCCCCGAAGGCCAGGCTGAGGGACCCCACCAGTGCATGAATCCATGCACTGGGCCTCTAGTATGCATATAAGATCTTTGGTTAATCTCTCCCTGCCCCACTTCCCTCTGAGATTCACCAGTCTGTTCCATGTTTCCATGCCTGTGTGTTGAGTGTCTGCCCCCTGGTGGTCAGTGCGCATCATAATTACTGGTTGGTCACTTAGGCTTTTATATATATAGAAAACGGGAATGGGTTTGGGTTAGAGAAACCTTTGAATTTAGCATGTAATCTATCAAAGATGTCACAGGAGAGATGTTTTCACCAAACACTTGGCTACTAGTGATTGAACTCAATCTTCTCCAGCCCCTCTTCCCTTCCCCAGAAATTGGGTGTGGGCATGGGGGTGGGGACTAAAAGTTCCAACCCTCTAATCATGTGGCTCCCATGGCAACCGGCCCCCAGCCATGGGTTACCTAGGAGCTTTCCTCATTAAAAGTCACCTCATTAATGTAATAAGACATCTTTATCTTTCGTATCACTTAGGAAATTCCAAAGGTTTTAGGAGGTTTGTGTCTGGAATGGAGACAAAAACCAAATATATATTTCCTGTGAGTGATGATATCACAGTACCAAACCAAAATTTTTTCACATAACAGGTTTATTTTAGCAGCTCAGTTTTATTACATTCTACATATTTGTTTAATATATTTCTATCTGTTCTGCATAGATGGCATATTTATTAACTTTTATAGTTGACTTTTTCATTTGCTATTTGCTGCTACCTGGCCTGAAGAGTCAGGAGGATAAATAGAACTCGCTTGGTGGAAAGGTGGTGCAGCATTGAACTTCTCCGCAGAACTTTACTTTGATGTGGACTTCAGCTTTTCTTCCTCTTCTTTTTCAAATCCTGAACAGACGAGAGATCTTCCCTTGGGATAGCGAGCACAACACTTACGAAGTTCTTGGATGACAGCCTGACACTTAGATTCCATGTAGTTGTTGGCTGAAAAACAGAGAGGCAGAATCTAGTCATGATCTCATAGGACTAAGGCACAGGGAGTTGGGGGGTTAGATCAATGCTTCCCACTCCTTTTTACTTTACTGTATGTACAGACCTGGAAGAAAGAGGATTTTTTAAAGTCCATGGAATTCTTCCTGATTTAGAGACCAGGAAGAAAAGTATGATTTACAGAGTGGTCAAAAGGTATTTTTCTATATAATTTTCTTTTCTTTTAAAAAATGTATGTATTTTTATTGATTTCAGAGAGGGAGAAGGAGAGATAGAAACATCAATGATGAGAGAGTATCATTGATCGGCTGCCTCCTGCACACTCCCCACTGGGGATCAAGCCTGCAACCTGGACGTGGTGCCCTGACCAGGAATCAAACTGTGAGCTTCTGGTTCATAGGTCGACCTCAAAGCTCAACCAACTGGGCTCATTTTCCTTAAGGTTGAGTTAATAGTTCATGTTCCTTGGTCACTAACTCCTTTACAATTTGGTGAATTAGAAAAATGCGCATATGAAAAATGCATTTTGCATACAGTTTAAGGTGGCTACTAGAAGCTTCCCTACCAAGTCTATGCATCAGAGGTTTGAAACTGCAGCCTGAGTCAACCCTTTTTTACAGTTGTGAGCTAATAATGGTTTTTACATTTTTAAAGGGTTGTAATTTGCCTCTCCTCTTTCCCTCTCTCTCTCCAACAAAGACCTCCTGGCCTCCAAAGCCTAAACTATTTCCTGTTTGGACCTTTATAGAAAACATTTGCAGACCCGGCTATACATAGATCCTAAGTCAAGGAGGACTTGACCTAACGGTTCTAAATCATCTTCAATTGACTTGGGTCCCTCGATACTAAATTGGAGTGCATGGGAGTTAGCCTGTGATAGGAAAGACAATTCTGACCACCCAGAGTATAGTGGAGTTGCTGAGTCCAGGCTCGTAGCCAGATCAGTGGGATTCAAACCCTCACTGTACCCCTTACTAGTTGTGTGACCCTGGGCAAGTTATGTAACTTCTGTGTTGATTTCCACATCTGTAAAATGGAGGTCATGGTAACATCTACCTCATGGATGAAACGATCAAATGACTTAATATGGTTAAAGCCCTTTTGGCTATAACTGTCATCCAGGGAATGATTAATTCGAACTCTTAGTCCTTCCAGCCCTCAATCCTCCCACACTGTGGCAAGGGGTATAACTAGTTCTAACTTGATTCTTGTTCTCCCTAAGTCAGTAGTTCTCAACCTTCCTAATCTCTCGACCCTTTAATACAGTTCCTCATGTTGTGGTGACCCCCAACCATAAAATTATTTCCACTGCTACTTCTTAACTGTAATTTTGCTACTATTATGAATCTTAATGTAAATATCTGATATGCAGGATGTATTTTCATTGTTACAAATTGAACATAATTAAAGCATAGTGATTAATCACAAAAACAATATGTAATTATATATTCAATATGTGTTTTCCGATGGTCTTAGGCGACCCCTGTGAAAGGGTCGTTCGACCCCCAAAGGGGTCACGACCCACAGGTTAAGAACCGCTGCCCTAAGTCATGGGTTGCTAGTTCAAATCAGTTAGTTTATTTGGAAGAAATTAATTGTGAAAAAGATTTTTCATTTTTCTTAAATTTGGAGAAAGGGATGAATAAAATGGCATTGTTATAAACACTTTAGATTAAAAGATTTTACAGATAATATTGCTTACATCATAAAATGGAAAGTTCAAGAATGAATAGCCGAAACCGGTTTGGCTCAGTGGATAGAGCGTCGGCCTGCGGACTGAAAGGTCCCGGGTTCGATTCCAGTCAAGGGCATGTACCTGGGTTGCGGGCACTTCCCCAGTGGGGGATGTGCAGGAGGCAGCTGATCGATGTTTCTCTCTCATCGATGTTTCTAACTATCTCTCTCCCTTCCTCTCTGTAAAAAATCAATAAAATATATTTTTTTTAAAAAAAAGAATGAATAGACATTAAAAAGAGAAAATGTACAAACAAGGATTTTCTTTGATGTTGAGTCTTTGGGGGAACTCAACATTTTCCCTTCCTACCTTTCTCTATTTTCATGGGTATCCATCTCTATTATTGTACTTTAAAAATGGGAAAATGATCAAAAAGTCAGTTTTCAAATTCACATCGTCTTGATGCTTTTTTTCATTTGTTCTGCCAATAATCATTTACTGATTAAAAAAAAAAGAAATCCTCTGGCATTTGTTCAAACATATGGCTGATTTAAAACCAAATGGACAAATCACATCACATAGACTTTAGTTGAAATTCACTTTTACCTTTAAAAGTTAGTTGCTAAGTTTGGCGGCCTGAATTCCAATTGTATTTTCAACACCCACCCCCCCATTCTAACCTGACTGCTTTTAAAAAGTGAGTTATTAGGCAGTTAAGTATAATCAACCTATTTTAAAACTAGTCTTTTTTTTTTTTTAAGGATTTTGCTCAGCTTAGTAATTCTCAACTCTGCCTGCACATTAAAATCACGTGGTCAGCTTCTTAGGTCCCTCTGCGCAGACCCCACTCACTGGAAGTCTGATTTCATTGTTCTAGGCAAGTTTTTAAAGCTTCCCATGTGATTTTACTATACACCCAAGATTGTAAACCACAAGCTCAGATCACATCACTTTTTATTTTCTATATCTTCAATTGTACAGTGAGAAAGATCTTCAGGCTAAATTAATTACAGAAATATTCTATTCTGAGAGGAGTTAATATAGTTTGCTGATAAAAAGAACAATTGGTCGCTTGTAGTTGGTTCACAGATAAAGTGGAAACTATGTAAAAAGCATTGAACATAGTACCTTGTAAACATTTCTGTATTTCACAGGCTTGTTTCTGGCACGGATCCTTCTGCAGCATATCCAGTAAACTAAAATAAGAAAAATGATTTTTATTTTGTCTTTTATTTATAAGGACTTTAAAGCCCCTCTAGGAGGAATTTTCTTCAGAGACAAGCAGTATGCCCTTCCAATTGTTGGAAGACTGTTACACTGAAAAATACTCTTCCCATTCATAGGGTGAATCAACTGTATTTTTTATAATAGCCATTTCATTTGATTCGAAAGATATAAGTAGCTTTACATGGGAAAAAGACCCTTGAATTCAATAAATTCATCCTGAATATTGTAAACCAATGTTGGACTAGAGGAGCCGACGCCGCAACCTGAAGGACCCGCCCACTGCCCACTCTGTCATTGACAGAACTACCCTTGGCAATGATCAAGCTCCTTGAGCCTTTCCCCTTATTATTAATGTGTAAACTGGGGATCATACCTACCTCAAAGCATTGGTGGAAGAATTAAAAGTATACGACGTGCATAGAATAGTGCCTGGAAGGCAGTAAGGACTCGCTACGTGGTAGCTATTGTTCCTGAGATTTTTAAAAAGCAAAACTAAGGGTTTTTTTTTTTGCATATAAACTGTTATAACTATTTTAACTCAGGAAATTATCAGGCAGTAAATGGTTTCTTAGGGATCAGCAATATTTGGCCCTGAGATAAATGCTAGTTTAGCAGCTAAAAATTTTTTTTGAACTCTTACAGAAAAGACTTATTTAAAATATCTGTAACCAGAGAATAATCTTAAGTGCCCACTATTTTGATTATTAGCAACATCTAAGAATTTGAAGACACAATTTCAGAAAGAAAAAGGGCCAGGAGCCTTTGTAGCTAATTTCATTAATGCAAATAACCTCTTTTTTTTCCCTTAGAGCTCCCTAAATTCTTAGTAGATCCAAGTTAGGTCAGTACTGGGATGGGAAACACTGGAGCAAAACCCAAGATATTTACAGGATGGGAGAAGGAAAGGCAGGTGAATTGCTGCAGGGCAAAGAAACGACCAATAGATGTTGATGCTGCTAGGAGCTGCTCTCTTCTCTCTAAATCAGTACCAAGTCCTTGGTGATCAGAGCATCTGTTGTGTAGCAGGTGCTGACTTTTGTGGGATTCATCAGATCCCAGTTCCGGCTGATGATGTCCATTAAAGGTTCTATGGCAATTTCCAAAGGAGTCAATTTCAAGTTACGAATCCTGACTAAGGGCTTTTGTTGACTCGCTTTCTGCCTGTGTAACCCCCTCTCTGCAGTTCCACTTGCGGCGTTCTTCATGACCCTTCCTAAACTTCTGTGTTCTTGAGCAGTTTTTCAACCCACTCCCTCCCCCAGGCCCACAGGTGGGTGCACTGCAGTGGTGGATGAAGTGATTGCCATATACTGAACAGAACAGAGGAGCATTTCTTCCTAGAATCCCAGCACCTGGAAAAAAATAGATCATTAAAATCACCACAACCGGACAGAGTGAAAAAGAAGAGAGAGAGACAGTGGAGAAACAAAAATACATACCAGGTTAATCATCAGGCAAAAGCTTAAGCAACAGCTCCTGTACTCCCCTGACCTGTCAGAAAAAGAAAAGTTTATAGAGTACTCTGTTACAAGAGTCCCAATATGATGGAAAATGATTAAGCAACATGTGTACCATTAAATGATGCTGGATCTGCCACAAGCGAGAGTTGTTATCCATGTAGCGCTGCTCAGGGTAGAGTTGCCACATGAGAGGTAGCTGGGAGGTAAGAAGGTGACTTGGCCTAACTGCGTCACCTAAGGGAACCTGAACTTGCTGGATTCGTGCCCTTAGGAAACTCGTCCCCTGATGGAAAGAAATGATCAAAAATAAAACCAAAGACTTTCAGGATACTGTGACTAGTCAGAAACCAAGTTGATTGAAAGCAAAATCAAAAAAGAAATAAGCAAAACGTAAAGTTACCTGTTCCACGACGGCCACCCACGTGCGCTGGTATTCGTCTCGGTAGATACCCTCTTGGTGAACCCAGAGGCGATCGGGTGGAGCCCCCACATCCTCTCCTGCCATTCTGGGCTTTGAGTTCCAATTCTAGCCCTGCTTTTCTCCACCTAAGCCTGCAGCACCCGTGCACAGGACACAGGTGTGACTTTTGGGGTTTGAATGAACTCACCAGTGAGCCAGGTGACCTGGTACTAGCAACCACCAACCAGAACCAAACTTCATATATGTCTACGTGCACAGTCTAAATAGAACCAAGGCCATCTGAAGCTCCCTGCAAGACACTGAAGTGACACTCAGGCAGAGCCCTGGGTTGACTACAAAGCACTCAAGAATTTAGTTAGGTAAGGAGTTCTGTGGAAATGTAGGACTAGCATTACAGGAAGCTGGGCAGTGGTCTCAAGTTTGCATTCACAAAGCAGTATCTGACGAAGTGTAGTTAGCAACAGAATATGCGTAGGAGTGTGCCTAAGGACACACTTATTTGGGCAGGAATGCGTTATGAAAGACAGATGAACGCCCCATTCCCCATGTAAAAGCAGTTTTCCTTTTAAAAGGTAAGACTGAGAAGGTGAATCATGTGCATGGCTTTCTAAATTGAAATTAAAAGTTTGTTTTCAGAGCAAACGACCTATTTATCAGTTTACTTAGAAAGGTATCGCAGCTGGGCATTTCCAGAAGGGGGTATGCGTATTAGGGAGAATATTTAAGGTAGCTTCATGGAATTTCTGAGCTGCAAGAGGCTTTGGGACCATGGCGATTTGGAGCTGAGTGAGAGAAAATGATAATTATCCACCTAGGTCCTTGTTTCATCTTAGTAATGCTTTTCAGGATGTCACAGGAGTGCATTTTTCCATACAAGTGTGGGTTTAAATTATGGTTTCCCGAGTCGGAAACCCAGAAAAGTCCCTCTGCCCTTCGAGAGGTATAAAGGAATCCCACCTCCTGGACCAACTCTTCACATGGGGCAAACTGGGCTCGAAACCCATACATCCTCCGCCCAGCCCTGGATCTCACTTCAGGGCCTCACAATAACTTCGCCTGCACTTTGCATTTTGTACCGCACAGTTTTCACTGTGTTTCTACTTTTGGCAGAGCACAGGTACAACACTGGGGGATCTCCCCACAAAACACAGGCCTCCTATTCCAATTGGGTTGCCATTAGGTGGGAAAGGAACTCCAGCACAGCTTGGGAAGTTGTTCAACCCTCCAGTGAGACTGTCCAGAGCAAATGAGATGCCAGAACACAGAATGAAGCAGCCCAGGACAAAGTGAGCCAGAAAGGATTAATTGAGCTAAACCAAGCCCTTTGTTCAGAACAATAATCTGAGTCTGATTTTTTTCTAAACACTGTTAGTTTACCTTCCCTTAAAAGGAAAGTAGAAAATATCTTTTATAGATTTAAGAAAGGGTCTGATTTTAGTGAATAATTTAACAACATCAGAGTTGCTTTGCCCAGTGTACTCTGACTCTGAGTCCATTGTCAGCTCCTGTCAATAGGGTTCCCTCATTTCAAATTCACCTAAAGTGAAACCCCTTCTCCTTAACCAAATTCTGATTTCTCTCAATGGCAACACCACCCCTCCTGTTCCTGCAGAAATTTACTAGTTGTCTTGAACCCCTTCATCTGCTTCAGTTGCTACATGCTATCTGTCACCAATTCTAGGAAGAACCACTACCACTGTATTTGAGATAAACTTTCTCCCAAACACCGGCTAATTTTAGCTCTATATCCTTGATTTTGCTCTCCACTTGCCTAAAATGCCTCCTCAGGCCTCTCTACCTCAGTACTATTATGGCCGAGGGCAAGTGTCTGCCTTTTCCATGAAAACTTCTTGCCTCCCTATGACCACTATAGCTTTTAAGTCTAAACTCATATTTTAGCCTCTAATTATATATTTCTTTGCATATTTGCTCTGCTTATTTCACAAGTCCTGGCTCTCCCCAAATGCAGTACTTTAAGCTCTTCAGTAGCACGAATGATACAGTACTGGGCACCCCAAGTCTCAAATACTAGTCAAATAGATAATCATTGTTCTGCCTCTCCTCTTCCCCGGGGCTTTGGGAAGGAGTGATATAAACAAAATCCCAGTAAATGCTAATGTCAAAAGAAAATATATTAAAGTCTGGATTTCAAGTACAAAAGAAGTGTGGCTACTTTTTTTTAAAAGTAGAAACCAAGTGTTAATGGGTTTCAATATCATCGCAACTTCACAGATAGGTCGCAGCAACAACCAACATTATTGACATTTAAATTGGTTTTGGAAAGCGAAATTTTACTGGTTGCACTGACGTGAAAAGGAAATAATTCCAGTGGGCAAACAAATTGGAGATGATGATCTGAGTTACTATGAATCACTACAAAGAGGCCTATGAGTCATTACAAAATATGCTGGAAACGCAGCATGATGTGCTGTTGAGACCCAAAGGCCAATATGCTGGGCATGAGCATACGACTCCGGACTTGCTTACGCTACTTACTACTCAGAGAGCATGAAGGCCCAGTAAAAGGCGACTGCAGTGATCAAGGGACTGAGAAGCCATCACGTGAACATTAACCAACATCCTCAGCAGAGAACCGCAAAAGCAAAGGCTGAGTGAGAGGGATTAAGATCAAAGCCCACAAAATCACAGGTTGTATGAATGGGACATCATTTCTCTAAATGTGATTCTTGGAACACGTGCCCCTAACTTTTTCCTTGGTCAAATAAATTTGGGAATCTGATAGCGTCATAAAGCATGTTAACACATGTAAAAGCTCTGGCAAGTTATGTAGTATAGAAACTTTATGTCGTTTAACATTTCCCAAATTTATTTGACTAGAGAGCATTTCTCTGCACATAAAACTTGCTCACAAAATTCAGGACCCCTTGAACTAGGACAAATCTCTTAAAACCTCAAGATAAGCTTAGGTAAAAGGTGCGCTACAATACACAGAACATAAACTTGTTCCACTCAACTCAAGGAATACTCCAGCTGCAAATTCAAATACATTTAAAAAGTGTTTATATAGCTTTAACATCCATGAAGGCACTAAAAGAGATTGTCCCCATGGGGGTCACCTTAATGCCACAATCGGAGACCACACTGGCCTAGAGAGAGTATTTATTAGTAAGGGGTTCTGTAAATTAATTATGTTTTAAATGGATGATATAAAATATAGAAGGCTTCCTTAGGTAGTAATCTAAGTAAAACCATTATTTTTCCTTTACAGAATAGATTATTTTGTGTCTTTAAAAAAAAAGGCGTTTGCTTTAATTTCCAGGTGTTTTAACAGTTTTTAAACATTAATCAGTTAAATACACGTATTTCATTTGAAATCAATTAATGAACTCATCCAATTATAATAGATGAGGATACCAAGAACATATATACCTGGAATCAGACTGGCCTGTGTATAAATCCTGGTTTTGCCACTTACTAGCTGTGTGACCTCAGTTAAATTTTCTATACTTGTTTTCTGATTTGTAAAATGAGAATTAAAGAACATATTGATTAGAACAGTCAGCAATTATTTAGCACTTCCTATGTGTTTCATATACATTGACACTTTTAATTTTCATAATCACCTGATTAGATTAATACTATTTTTCCCCCCACTTAAAGATGAGGGAAGTAGCCCTGGTCTGGTGGGCAGCAGGTTCGATTCCTGGTCAGGGCACATACCCAGGTTGTGGCGCACACAGGAGGCAACCAAATGATGTTTCTCTCTCTCTCAAATCAATAAAAACATATCCTCAGGTGAGGGTTATTTAAAAAAAAAAAAGATAAGAGAAGGCACACAGAAGTTAGGTAACTTGCTTGAGGCCACACTGCTAGGAAGTTGCAGAGCCGGATTCCAAATTGGGGCAGTTTACACAAAGTCTGTAAGTGCTTAGTAGATCGTCTAGCACAGCGGTTCTCAACCTGTGGGTCGCGACCCCTTTGGCGGTCGAAGGACCCTTTCACAGGGGTCGCCTAAGACCATCCTGCATATCAGGTATTTACATGACGATTCATAACAGTAGCAACATTACAGTTATGAAGTAGCAACGAAAATAATTTGATGGTTGGGTCACACCATGAGGAACTGTATTTAAAGGGCCAGAAGGTTGAGAACCACTGGGCTAGCACATATTAAGCTTGCCATACATGTTATTAAACGTTTAGGGCTATAAAATGAAGCCATGAGCATTATAAAAGTTAGAGAATGCCATTCTAGATTATGAGATTAACATCAACAAACAAAGGGTTTTTTTTTTTCTTTTTGAAGGTGCCTAAAGACAATTTATAAACTCAAAATATCCCATCACTGAACATAATCACAGCCACTCTCGCCCCATCAGGGCATAGCATACTAGCCACGAACAGTAATTGGAAATATGTGGTGCAAAATCGAAACTTAAGTGAAAATTTACGTGGGTCCAATGTAATTGCACACTTGAAATTTCTCCCGAGCTTCATCATTATCAAAATGAATCACGGAAAGTTGTGCCATGTGATCCTGAAGCATTAGGTAAAAATGGAGGTTGCTGGCATACATACCACAGATAGTTCTACTGGATGAGGGCCCTATCTGTGGAAAGACGTGGGTTGGAACTGACTAGGGAGAAAAGAGCAAAGCATCAACACCTCTTCAGGTAGCACCTTGGGAATGTTCCCTTTCCAGTACTGCCATGTCTACCTGGCTTCCAAACTCCACAGCGAATAGATAGAAAGCGAGATCAAACAAACAGAAGCACCGATGGGCTGTGGAGGTGGCTCGGCATAGATTTTTCTTTGATTTTTGAATCGTTCCCCAAATCCCCTGTAATTCCTAACCTTGGGAGTTGAAAGATCGCTACTTTCAACCCATGGCACATTTGGCATACGGCGAAAGAAAATTACTTTTACCTATCATTTCACCATGTCTGAGAGCGTCCAGACAAGGGAACCGAGGAAACTCGTAGAGTGGATAACTACTGTGATACACCCGACCTTGAATAAAACCTGAAGTCCCCCATTCCCCTTCCCTAGAACAAATAGTTAACATTCTTTGCAGAGAGTAGCAGCAGCCAAGTTTGAGAGTGATACTTTTTCAGATACAGTATAGCACTGTTTCTGCAAGAGGTTACTCACATGAATATAATGTTTCTTGGGCTAATTAATCCGCCTCGGGATCAGCGAGGCTAAAACTTCCAGGTCCCCCACCTCGGGTCAGTCAAGCGGGGATCAGGACGTGAGCCAGGGGCGAGCAGAGGGGCATCTGGGGCCGAGGTCACCCGAACCGAAGTTTCCAGGCAAGGGCCGGCAAGCGGAAGTGGTCCAGGGAAGAGTGGGACAAAATTCAGGGGCCGCAACTTGGAAACAAAACGAAATAAAACCTTAACTATCTTAGGACGGAATTTCCCAAAGAGCGTCCCACTGGCTCGAGAGGCTGACCCGCGCGGCGGAGCTGCCTCAGGGTTGTCCCTGGAGCGTGTAGGCCGCGTCAGCGGGCGGGCAAAATGGGCGCCGGCGCTCCCGAGGCGCCTGCCCCGCAGCCCGGGCGCCGCTCACAGACCGCGTCCGCCTGCGGCCCTGGAGCACCGCCTCCCAGCCGCCCCTGCGTCCCGGCCTCCCGGCCTGAACCCCTTCCCGCGGCCGGCCACAGCCCTCTGCCCCGACGGCCACGCCTGCCCTAACCGGCGCGGGCGTTTCCCAGGTGCCGCTGGGCCGCCCCGCCCCCGCCCAAGCTCCGCCCCCGCCCAAGCTCCGCCCCCGCCCAAGCTCCGCCTCCGCCCAAGCTCCGCCTCCGCTCCACACGCCCGCCCCGCCCGCGCGCCCTAAGCTCCGCGCCCGCCCCGCCCCGCCCGCGCTCCCCAAGCCCCGCCCCCGCGGAACCCGCTTGCTGGAGCTCAGGGTTGGTCAGGCCTAAGAGGGCCCTAGCCGGACGTGAGCAGGGTCGGACCAAGATGGCGATGCAGGTGGTGCAAGCGGTGCAGGCGGTTCATCTGGAGTCGGATGCTTTCCTAGTTTGTCTCAACCACGCTCTGAGCACAGAGAAGGAGGAGGTGATGGGACTGTGCATAGGGGAGGTGAGTAGGTCAGTGAGTTAGCCTGGCCGGAACCTTGAAGAGCAGCCCAGCGTGTCCTTGGGGTCGGTGTTAGCGCCCAGGGCTGCGGAGGCCACAGGCACCCTGGCTTTGATCCTGGGACAGATCCTTTGGATGGTCCTGTCGCGGAGTTTCGGTATCCTCGGGTTGCTCGAAGCTTGGTTAACCCCCCAGAACCCCCCAGCGTTCCGGCTAAGCTAGGGGTTGGGGAAAGCTTTTTTCTCGACTAATCCCTGGCCTCTTCTGTAAATCTGGAAGTTATCACCCCATTGACCAAACCTGAAAGTCAGGCCAGAAAGACAATATAGCACAATAGGACATCAGTGTATTAAGACGCTACTGACCACTGTTAGGGCAGCTGCAATCTTTCCTCTAGGATGCATTTTAATTGTATCAAAGAACCTAAGAGAGGAGAGGGTTTCAAAGACACAAAAGTTTCTGCAGCGATAAAGTGTTGCAGAGGAGCGAAAGAGGATGAGGAAATAGAGCTTAGTTGCTTACAATCCGAAGTAAAAATTCTCCAGTTTTTCATGCTCGCATGCCCTATTTTTCGTATAATCTGTATCATGTACATCAAATAAGCGTACTGTGATCAATAATGTTTTCTCCTCTTTCTCACTCTAGTTGAATGATGACACCAGGTAAGACAATGTTTGTTTACTCGTGTCTTTTGGTCTATATGCCATTATTAACTCAGAGTTATGACAAGCTTGGCAATATTGGTTAGGGATTGTATTTTAAATTACCATGATGTCTGGAGCTCCCTCAATGATACACTTTGAATAGCTTCCCAATCCTAAAGATTGGTTTCCACCTAACTTCCTAGTAGGAGGATTTTCAGTTGATATATCTGTGACCTTATGTGAAAAATGTGGTTTAGGAAAACAAGATCATGAGTGAACGTGTGAACTCTCTTACAGATAGAATTCTGTTGACTGATATGGTGCTGCTATTTTCCATTTCCTTGCTTGATATGTTTTTATGTTCTGTCTCCCCTAAAATGACAGTGAGATACTAGTCATTTTCTTTGTGGCAGATAATGTGCATATTAAGAGACGTTTCCCCCTATTGACCCATTCCTTCATCTAAACTCACTCTTCCATTTCCATGGCTTTCCGCTTCCTGCTGCTGAACCCTACAGTGATCTCAGAGACCTCCAGTAGCTTGGATGCTTCGAAGTTTTAACTTAAGCCTAGAAGCATAGCAGAATGTGTACTCTCAATGCCCACCTCTTTAATACCAAGGATACTAGGAATTTAGCTTTGCCCATGAAAACTTTATACACTCAGCCACATATGCATGCGTGTCAGACTGTTTCTCACAGCTTTACCTTCAGTTTACTTTCCTTCTTCCTTTGTCTCTGCTAAGGTTTTATTGTTCCCTTTTTTTCTAATTTATCCCCAAAAGGAGTGACTCCAAATTTACATATACTGGAACTGAAATGCGCACAGTCGCTGAAAAGGTATGTGTGCTTGAATTTGCATGATGGAGACTTGCAGTTGGGGAGGGATTTCTGTGCTCTGTTTGATGAACTCAGCCAAGGATCGATTCCTTTTGTGTAGGACCGCATTTGTGGCTGAGTGGCGTGTTCTCTCTAGTTAAATCTACTCACTAGGAATGGGACCAATTTTCTGTTCTTTGTAGCGAAATTTTACTATTTGATCAAGATGAGTAATCACTGTCAGCTTTCCTCCTTGCTGACATCTGTCTGTTTTTCTGGCTGACTCATGTCATTGTTATCTTTTTATCCTGAGTCCGAATATCTACTCAGGCAAAACCTTCTCTCCTTACAGGCAAACTATCCAAAGCTCATAGTTCTTAGTCTACCTTGACTTTCTCTTTTCTGGTTTGTTCTAGTCATATGGTCTAGTATAATGCTTCTCAACCTAATCGTTGTATAGGAACAGTTAATTTCCCCCCATTATGGTGCAGGCCAGTGCTTTTGTAAAAGACAATAACAAAAATTATGTCCTCTCCTCTGCCAAGCAGATGATAGAGGTGATAAAAGCTATAGGGCAACAACTCCATCTACTTATTAACTCTACTAGAGGTCTGGTGCACTAAATTCATGCACTGGGGGGGGGTGTCCCTCAGCCCAGCCTGACCCTCTCTCAATCCAGGACTGCTGGCTCCTAACCACTCACCTGCCTGGATGCCTGATTGCCCCAAACCACTCTGCCTGCCAGCCTGATAGCTCCCTAAACACTCCCCTGCCAGCATGATTGACACCTAACTGTTCCCCTGCCGGCGTGATCACCCCCACCTGCCCTCTCCTGCAGGCCTGGTCCCCCCCAACTGCCCTCCCCTTCAGGCCTAGTCCCCCCCAACTGCCCTCCCCTACCAGCCATCTTGTGACAGTAGGGGTGGCCATCTTGTGACAACATGGGGACAACCATCTTGTGGCAACCATCTTGTGATGACGTGGGGGTGGCCATCTTGTGATGACATGGGGTGGCCATCTTGTGATGGCCATCTTGTGACATCATGGGGTGGCCATCTTGTGATGTGAGGGCATGAGGGTCAATTTGCATATTACCACTTTATTATATAGGATATACAAAATTCATCATGTTAACCACTTGGCGTCCTTTCTTCCTATATGAAGGAAAGAAGTTCATTCCCTATCCAGAGCTACAGTTTCTTCAAGGACCTTGCTTATGAAATACCCTGTCTTGCCATAGCCAGTCGGCCTGCGAACTGAAAGGTCCCAGGTTCGATTCCAGTCAAGGGCACATGCCCAGGTTGTGGGATCGATCCCCAATAGGGGGGCTTGCATGAGGCAGCTAGTCAATGATTCTTTCTCATCGTTGATGTTTCTATCTCTCTCTCCCTCTTCCTTCCTCTCTGATACCAATAAAAGTATATTTAAAAAAAGAAATACATTGTCTTTCTTCTGTGTCTTCAACCTTCTGTCATCTGGCTCTTTTCCCTTGGGATACAAATGTGCTTATATCACTCTCATTTTCAGAAGGGACAGAAAAATCACTTCTTGATCATCTATCTCCCTGTAATCATTCCTCTCACATCCTTCCTTTAAGAGCCAGCCCTTATTTACCTTCTCCATTCAAACCCACCAAAATCTGCTTTCCAGTTCTGCCTCTCCAGCCCCCTTCTCATTGCTACATCCCTGGATTGTTTCTTGGTGCATCTCTTAATCTTTCAGTTCGGAACTCAGAACTCCTATGAGGGTTTTTGTTTGTTTTGTTTTTGCGGTATCTCCATATTCCTCCCCTTCCTTATTCTTTTTGGACTCTTCCTCCCCTGCCTATTCATTCATTATTCTCCAAGTTTCTGCCTTGGCCTCCTTCTCTTCCCACAATGTTTTTTTTTATTTATATTTTTATTGATTTCAGAGAGGAAGGGAGGGAAAGAGAGAGAAACATCAGTGAGGAGAGAGAATCATTAATTGGCTATCTCCTGCATGCTCCACACTGGGGATCAAGCCCACAACCCGGGAATGTGTCCTGACCAGGAATTGAACCCTGACCTCCTGGTTCATAGGCCAATACTCAACCACTAAGCCATGTCAGCTGGGCTTGCCAGAATGTTTTCTTAGGCAACATCACCTCTCCTGTGGCTTTAGTTGCAACAGACATTGAGGTTAGAGAGATCTGTCTTCAGATCCTTTCTCTGATACTTACTGTGTGACTTTGGGTACATTACTTAACATCCTCGAGCTTCTCATTCTTTATGTGTAAAACAGAGATAGTGATCATCACCAACCTCATAGAGTTGTTGGGAAAGTTGGATTTGCGTAATGTAAGTAAAACACTCACCTATAAAATGGGCATAACAATAGTACTAACCTCACTGGGTCATTGGGAGAATTAATTTAATACATGAAAAGCCCTTTTACAAGTGCCTGACACATGGCAGGTAGCCAATAAATATTGGCTATTTTGACTGTTGTTGTTAACCAGTAGATGCTAGTTAGTATAAATTATTCCAGGCTCTAGAATGTCATAGTCAACTGTCTAGTGGACATCCAAGTTTAGCTAAACATGGGCATCTTTTAAAACGTAATATAATAATAGAGGAATATGCAAATTAGCCTGGATGCCGCAATGTCATGACCAATCTACAAGCAGCAGAGAGCTACGGGAGGGCGGGGCAGCGGGCAGAGAGCTACAGGAGGGCGTGGCAGTGAGGTAGGAGCGGTGGAGAACTACCAGCAGTGGTGGGTGGGGTGGCCAGCTGAGGCAAGTGGCAGCGAGCTACTCATGCATGGATTCGTGCACATTGAAAGGACATTAATTAGAAGAAATATTTTAAAGGCCAGGGAGGGACCCCAGGAGGGCTCCAGGGCATGTCCAGCCCATCTTGCCCAGTTCCCATCGGCCAGACCCCAGCAGCAAGCTAACCTACTAGTTGGAGCATCTGCCCCCTGGTGGTCAGTGTGCATGATAGCAACTGGTAGAATGGTTGAACAAATGGTCGGACACTTAGCATATTAGGCTTTTATTATATAGGATATTTATTGATTTCAGAGAGGAAGAGAGAGGGAGGGAGAAAGATAGAAACATCAATGAAGAGAGACAGTTATTGATTGGCTGCCTCCTCCGCGCCCCCACTGGGGATTGAGCCCACAACCCAGGCATGTGCCCTGGCTGGAATCAAACCATGACCTCCTGGTTCATAGTTCAGTGCTCAACCACTGAGACACACTAGCTGGGCTAAACACAGGCATCTTAAACTAACATGTTCAAAACTGAACCTTTTCTCTTCCTCAAACCCTTCAACATCCCTCCTGCCACAGTAGTTCCCAAGCCTGGACTCACCCAGTAATCTTTAAAAAATCCTGAGGTGGTTCAGTTGGTCTGGGGTGTGACCTGGGCAGCAGAATTTGGAAAAGCTATCCAGGTGATTCTTTTTTTAAAATTTTGTTTTATTGCTTAAAGTATTACAAAGAGTATTACATATCTTTCCTTGCCCCCCCACCTTGACCTTTCCCCGGCCTCCCCTACCCCCCAGTGTCTGTGTCCATTGGTTATGCTTCTATGCATGCATACAAGTCCTCCGGTTGATCTCTTACCTCCTCCCTCACCCCTCGCAACCCTCCCCGGCCTTCCTGCTATAGTTTGACAGTCTGTTTGATGCTGCTCTGCCTCTGTATCTATTTTTGTTCATCAGTTTATAATGGTCTTTATTATCCATAAATGAGTGAGATCATGTGGTAGTTTTCTTTCTCTGACTGGCTTATTTCAGTTAGCATAATGCTCTATCCAGGTGATTCTTATGTGCAGCCAAGTTTGGTAACCACTGCCTGCCATTGAGAGCCATAAACCTAAATTGCTTTCATATTTGTTTCCAATGCTTCATCCCAATTACTGCTACCTTATTTATTTGAGGTCCTCATCACTTCTTTCTTCGATTTCTGTGCTAGCCTCTCCATTAGTTTCCTTGATTCGAGTCTCGACGCTAGTCCTTTCTTACTGCTTAGGATGTAATCTCTTGAGAACATAAGTCTGATATACCTCTGCTTAAAATCCTTAGGATGAAGTCCCATTAGTGAAGCATTCAGGGCCTCTCATTTCTGTTTATGTCCTTACTAGAGGCCCAGTGCACGACATTCATGCACTAGGGGGGGCAGTCCCTCAGCCCAGCCTGCACCCTCTTAGCACTTCCTCAGAGGGGAAGCTGTGAGCTTGGCTTCTGCCTGAGTGGTGCTCCCCCTGTGGGAGCACACTGACCACCAGGGGGCAACTCCTGCATTGAGTGTCTGCCCCCTGGTGGTCAGTGCACATCATAGTGTCCAGTTATTCTGCTGTTTGGTCGATTTGCATGTTAGGGTTTTATTCTATAGGATACTAGTGGCCCGGTGCACAAAATTTGTGCACGGGTGTGTGTGTGTGTGTGTGTGTGTGTGTTCCCTCAGCCCATCCTGCACCCTTTCCAATCGGGGACCCCTTGGGGGATGTCAGATTGCTGGGTTAGGCCTCGAGGAGGCTGCGGATCAGACCCTGCTTTTCTCTCTCTCCGGGCCTCACCAGCAGCTGTGGTAGCTGCTAATCAGCCCCGCCTCTCTCTCTTCCTGAGAGGTCAGCAGTTCAGCGCGCTTGCCAGTCCCCACCCACCAGAGCCTGCTGCGTGCGCAGCCTGGTGTTCGGTCGTTTTGTTCGTTACAGACCCTGGGTTTTTATATATTAGGACTAGTGGCCCAGTGCATGAAATTCATGCATATTGAAAAGGAATTAATTAGAGAAAATATTTTTTTAAAATATGTATTTTATTAATTTTTTACAGAGAGGAAGGGAGAGGGATAGAGAGTTAGAAACATCGATGAGAGAGAAACATCGATCAGCTGCCTCCTGCACACTCCCTACTGGGGATGTGCCCGCAACCAAGGTACATGCCCTTGACCGGAATTGAACCTGGGACCTTTCAGTCCACAGGCTGATGCTCTATCCACTGAGCCAAACTGGTTACGGCATAGAGGAAATATTTTAATATTGCTATTTGCCC